GAGTTCATCAAGCTTAGAAACATCTAATCTCGTCCGGCATAGTTAATTCTGTCATAAAATTACAACTCATTAACATTTGGACAGTAACATATGAAGAAGAAAATATTCAACTTTAACATTCAAAATGTACTGCTATTTCACCGTCTCACATTTAAGGTGCTAAATGTGAAAATTGTTAATAAGAGACTCAACTTTATCAAAAACGCAAAACCAAAAATCATGCATTTTCTATTAAAGTTTGACAGACTCAACGTTAAGTGCTTGGTTTCACATCAATTAAACATTGCAGAAACTTTTCCAATTGAGTTATCGCACAACTTCAATTTTTTTCGGGTCGTGTCATTACGTAATAAAAAAAAAAGCACAGAAATATGAACCTAGAAATCCATTATTAAATAAAGCCAAAAATGAGTTATTTATCTAAATTTCCAAAACTGAGGCAGAAAAAAATTATTCCACTAAGCCCACTAAAATGGCGGAATTACCTTCATCAGAACCGTCCATGTGTATGCCTTCAAGTGTGTAGAACAATTGCGGATTTTTAGCTCACATACTTCGCAATTTGATCGGGGTTAGGATTCTTGAGCTGAATTTGGGGATCACGACATAGAAGAGTGGTCGATTGTTTGTTCAAATACTTTCGATTCAATTTTGCAGGTTGGGTGCTTGAGTTGCAGTTGGGATTGCAACCTAGAATAATGGTCTATTCTTTGTTCCCATACTTCACGAATCCATTTTGAGGGTTAGGGCTCTTCAGGTGAACGTTGGGGATCAATTGATTTGAGGAAGAAGCTTAGATGAGATGAAATTAGGGTTCTTCGTGAATGGGAGAGGAGCAATTGATTTTGAAGGAGAATCTGATTTGGCATTTAGCCCCTGTTTGATCTCCATTAAATTAAATTACATTACATTACATTTTTCTCTCTCCTATTTTCAACCACACAATCTTCCATAAAATAATATTACACGTAAAACGAAAACTTTTCTTCTTTTTCAACCGTTCATTTTTCTAAAAAATACTATTTTTCCCATTTTCATTTTCAGGTAATGGGGGTCAAACAGGGGCTTAATAAAAAGATTTTGTTAAATCGTGTTTGACGAAAATTGCAAGTCGTGTTGGTAAGGTTTAAGGCTTTTTTGCTGTCGTGGGAGCTGATTTGGTGAAAGAGTTATTATTTGTAGTGATTTAACTGGCCAACTCATTTTGCCGTCTTCCACATAGGCACGTCTATTAACGGTTTTCATCGGGTGAGTGATGAAGTTGGATGGATCAAAGTTCAGTGATCAATGGGACAATTAATAAAGTTCGGTGACCAACGAAACATTTAACTCAAAAAGATGTTACAGATTTAAAAACTACGATAACGAGTAAAGAGTCTATAAACCAGAGTAAAACACTTTGATCTATCAAATATCCAATTGGATGAACAGTGAAAACTGGAACCGAGAAAAAGATAGTAAAGCTTTATAATTTGAATAATGGAGCCGATAAATGGGAAGTTGCAGACTCACTTCATTCAGTGGTTGTCCAGAACTGCATTGAGAAGTATACTCTTAATTCAGTTGGTGTACCACGTTTTCTTCCGAAATTTTCAAGATTTTATACTTTCTTATTTTGTAGGTTTTTAGTTAATTTCCTTATTTCAAAATCATACTTTTAATTATCTGTGTTTATTTTTATTGTTAAAATTAAATTAATTAAGGTTGTGTAATCTAAAGAATACATTCCTCGAGGGATCGACAGCTTGGACTCAAAAGATCCACTTTATTACTTGAACGCGATCCGTGTACTTGCAGTGTACAATTTTAGGGAAACAGTAACAAGTAATCAAAATTACAGGGATGTTACAAGTAAAACTTGACAATAATACCGTAATCAAGGAATAGAAAGTCTTTCAAGCTAACGTTCAAGCTGAGCCACCATAGCTTGGCAATCCTAAAACAGACATAAATTTAGATAAGAGTAGTTCTTATTATATAATTCATCAGCAGCAATCTTAAAACGGACATAAATTTAGTTAATAGTAGGTCTTATTATATTAATTCTTCAGCTAATATATAATCAGTCCTTCCTATAGCTTACTAGTTGAGTGTGAAAGGGGATAGCAAAACAAAAATAAATTACTTTACATTATTATTATACAAAATGGCTACATTTTTGGCAGAAGGGAGAAAAATACTAGGCAACCCTTTCATTTCTGATTAAACAGATATACCATAAAAGAATAATTGACATTCCTTCCCCTTTCATCATCCAACTGAACTTTCTTTAAGAAAAAAAATATCTTAAGTTAAAAATCCATGAGTAACAAAGAATTTTTTCTGTTGTTTTTTCTCCTCTTTGCCCACTGTTTTTCCCGTCTTGGATTTTCAAGTAAATTTTGTGCTCTTGTTATCATTTTATATTGTCAATTCTTGCTTTTTCGTAATATGTAATTTGGAAAAAAAAAATAGCCTTGTAAAATAGGTAGTCCTGGTAAAGTTAGCAGTGAACAAATATAATATGAATGTGAAAAACCAAGTGACATCAAGCCAAAAAGCAGCTCGATGAACTATGTAAATTTATTATTATTATGATTATGGTTAGTAGATCTGTAGTATGCTACAAATACCTAGATATATAATTACTAAAGTCCAAGGTAAACCCAATTTATTTTCACTTGCAATTCAACTTACATAGTGAATAATTATTCATTATCAACAACTTCTACATCATTATAGAAAAAATGAGATATCTAGGAACTAGGTATTTGATCAATAAAAATAGGGAACATGGCTCAAGGGACTAACAAAATTATTAATAAGATGAGGCAAATTAAAGAAACAAACAAATGTAGGAAGTTGAAATCTACTTAAGAAACAAAATGTACTTCCCTATCTGTCGGAAGGGACAATATGACAGATACCAAAACAAGGCAATAGCTTAAGAGATTCAAAGATTACATAATTATAAGCCAGAAAAAAAAAATATTGATGATTTATTGGAGTTGATAATGGGGGTTGACTAACAAACCTTATGTAGAAACTATACCATTCGCAGTCAAACCATGATCCCTGAATTTGAAACGGGCATATAACGATTTGCAAAAGAGATAATGGTGTTGGATTCCCAGTGGATAATGCACAAGTAGAATCTGATTCCCTGCGCACCGGGATTGAACATAGCTGCTTTAAATGTCCCATTACGAGAGAACAAAAACTCCCAGAAGCATCTACAGATTTGAAATTTGAAGGAGTCAAATTAGGGTATGCGAATTCTTTAATGGAAATACCATATGCGAGAACCAATAATAAGGCTAAAACACACAGATCTAACCCCGATTTTGCCCTAGTCGGCATGGGCAACTAGCTGTGACGATTGACATTGCAGATTTGACGGCGAGAGTAGAGGAAGAAGAGATATTACCTTTGTCTTAAGAGATTAAGGCTTCCACTACCCCTTTCCTCTTGTTTTCAAATTTCTACTTTTGATTTGTACTTTTTTTTATCTAATTGACAAATTAATTATAAGTATGTTTATAGATAGCGTGTAGAATAATTTAATTTATAATTTGTAATTAGTTAAAATTTGTATGTTTTATTCGAAAGAATCATTCTATTAACTTTTAGGGTCAGTTTGATTGTAAAGATGAAATTTGGATAGAAAGAAAATGAATTTCAAGAAATTGAATTGTCTAGAAATTATTTTACT